ATTTGGCAGTTGGAGAAGATGGAGTTCAGTAAAAGCATTAAAAAAACGAATTTAAAAGTAGTCCTGATACTTTAATTTTTTACTTAAAAAAACACATTGACTTAGTTGTAATGAAGGAAAAGGATTTCTATTCATTATTTGCTGATATCATGATTTAGATCATATTTTGATTAATGGTTGCCTCCATTTCGCCTCATGTGGTTTAAATAATTTCTGTACAACTGTCTATTTATCACAATAAACCTCGTATGATATCGGATTTATTACTAGTATTTTTGTAAGAAATTTCTGCCATTGCTTTAAAAACAAATGAGTGAATTTGATAAAACACAATGAAATAAATTGTTAACAAAAAACTTGTTTTTTAAATAAATTCAGGAATCGTATTTACATAATACACGTTTGGTACATACTTCAGTCCAGTACATATTACTTAAACAGTAAATCACTTACACTCTGGGACATAAACAGTCATTTTATAATTATGATAGCTATCAGTATCATTCCATCTTATATTCTAGTTTGACATTACTATTATAATAAATATATATATACATATCTTTGCATAGTTATCAGATCCGACATTCTTATATAATCCTTCGCATAAAATTATAAAATCGTTTCAAACGATATCAACACGTTTCCTTTTTTGATTATATTAATATTTGGCATAATATTTATTTTAATATAAGTTCGCAGTAACACTGACGTTATGTTTAAAACAATTTAATTTCACAATTTTATAAAACCTATTTTAATAAATTTAATTAACGGACTAGAAAATTAAATTATCACAGAAAATTAAATACTGATTGGTTTACTTATGCTAAGGTAATCTTAAATAATTTTGTTTTCTTTTCAACGCAATATTTATACATTTGATGCGTATTAAATATGTATGTAAAATGTATTCTTGTACAAATTACAAATATCATATAAATGAATATATAGCTGAGATAAATAAACACAAATAGTTCTGTTTCACACTAATAAAAATAAATAATATAACACAGGGTTATGTTGTCATTTCTTTTAAATGTGGGTACCTTAAGAGTTGTGATAGGAAGGTGGAAGATGGATTACGTACAATTAAAAAGAAAATCTTGTCCTGCAGTTTTAAATTGCTAATTAAAGTATACTAGAGTGGAGGTCAAAATTCGACATTTAAGGGTTCGAAAATTTTTCTTAAAAGTGCGTACAATGCTTTTATGCGAAATAAAAGCATTGTACGCACTTTTAAGAAAAATAGATGTCCTGATACTCCTAAGTATTTCCTATAACTAATACTTGTAACCAGTGAGATTAGTTATAACAAAAGGTCATTCATCTCAGCCATATAAAAAAAAACATTATCGTGTCTATATTTTTTTATAATACTGAAATTAAACTCTTAATCTTCTTTTTTCTTCTGTCACAGGAATAAAATAAAAAAAAAACTTATACATGTTTAAAAAGATCACGTTTGCGACTAGATTTGTGATTTGTTATAAAACAATTTAACTCTTAAAACTAATTAGAATAACCAATGATTAAAACACTGAAACACATAAATGGAATTAATCATTGAAAAAAGATTTTTGATCTAATCTAAAAGTACAGTCAGCAACAAAATTATATTTGTGAAGCATCCGAACTTCTGATGTTACAAAAAAAGAACGAGCCTTATAGTATTCGCATATAATGTGTGACATTAGATATCTTACCTTGGAACAGCACGCGATTCACGGTCAAATAAAATGGCGGGCGCTTCATCAACTTCCTGTTATATACTTCCTTCCCTTTTACGCAATCAATACTAATGATAACGGGAAAGCGAGAGGCTAGATTTTTTGCACAAAAATTATATAGAACTTTAATAGGGCAGATTAATAGGTTTAAAATAAATTATTAACTTAAATAAATTACAAAATAACATAACTCTTAAAACTAATTTGAATGACCAATGATTAAAACACTGAAACACATAAGTGGAATTAATTTTCCTCTCTCCTGTTACATACTTCCGTTTCTTTCAAGCAATTAATACTATTGATGATAAGGGGTAAGCAAGAGACAAGATGTTTCGTTAAAAAAAAAACACGTTAAAAAATCTATAGAACTTCAATAGAATCACTAAATGTAAAATTTAAGATACAGCCTGAATTGTCCTCCATTATCAATCTTATGCCTTTATTGTTCTTATATCTTCAATAAATACAAATTATTTGACAAAAGCTGGGTACGACGTCACGCCATAGTATTTCATACAAAAATGTACCGTGTCTATCGTTTTGACGTTTAATAAAAAGGTACTGCCTGTTATTTTTTTTTTGAATTTAATTGTTTATAAGCACTTATAAACAATTAAATTCAAAAAAAAAATAACAATCATCGACTTCTTTTCACGTATTTTATACAAAAAAACATGTCATTTTTAATGAAACAATTAAGAAAATCAGAATATAAATAATCTATATTTTGAGATTGTCTCAAGGATGTTTAAAACAAAATATACCATCCAATTTTGTCTATAGCTTACAGCTTCGATTAAATCCTTAAACAATAATATCCAAAAATTGTTCAATCTGGGACAACAGTGTTATATTACAATACAAACTCTAACTGGTCAGTTCTACTGTTACCTTTAAAAATGGTTAAACCAAAATCTATTATTTTATCATTAAAAAACATTTATCTGCCTAAAGTGGCATTTTCTTATTGTATAAGTAAATGTATAGAATATTAACTAAGTGACTTGTATAGACGCAGAGCCAGTACATCATCAGACATCTTCTTAGGCCCGACTACATACTTGCGAGATAGTGCATTTTCGTGGTAGTATGGACTCGGCCTTTTCTGTAACGACTCCGTATTTACTATAAGCATTATGCATTTGCAGTAGTATGTACTCGGTACTTGCCGCAAAAGTGTGCGTGACTAAGTCAGATCTACTTTTCTTTCAACAGTGAGTGAGTGAGTCTGTGGTACTAGTGACTCGACTTTGAAAAAAGAGCGAGCATCTGGTATAGTACTGGCTAGGTACTGCCGGCAAATGTTGTGCGTCTGCCTTAGTACTGACCTGGATGTCTGTTGCAGATAGCAAGGGACATATGTAAACTATATCAGCATCAGTAATTAATATTCTATATACTTTGGAATAATAGTTAGATGTAAATTTTTGATTTAATTTGGCAAATCTATAGAAGCACTTTGAAATTATGGCAGCTAACCTGCTTAATAAATATAATATTAGTATTATTTAAGTTCCATGCAGATATTTCGAACTATACCTTGAAATAGATACACGCAGTCTTTTTTTTTTTGTTAGATGGGGCAGACGAGCAGACGGTTCACCTGATGGAAAGTGACTATCGCCGCTCATGAACGTCTGCAACTCAGGAGTCACAAACGCGTTGCTGGCGTTTTAGGAAGGAGTACATAAATCTTTCAATACAATTTTGTTTTGAATTTTATTTGTGTCGTTATAAAAGAAATGAATTGTGGTCGTTTGCATCGATGCCAAAGAGTAATTTAAGTATTGGTTTCCATACAGTGGATCTAAAGACCTATATTTATCTTTTCGAGCTATCATTTTATTTTCTGTGCGAATGAAAATTACCTATGGCCGATTTCACGAATTTTGTGAGGCTGGTGTGGGATCAAGATCTTGAACGGTATTGGAAATGTTGAGTGTTACCACAATAGTCTACGAAAATAAATGCATTTTCGATAGCCTATAAATAAATTATAGTTCATAATATTTAAAGCAGTAATATATTGCAGCAATTGTGATATTTTTATTTCACACAAATGAGCGATAAACTAAAAAGTAACACTTCTGACAATTGCTCTTCTGTTACTAGGTCCAGTAACGGACACTTTAAAAGTAAGACACGCAATGCACTTGCGAATATTAATACGTCTGCTATCAAGTGTAATGAGAACTGTAAAATCCTAAAGCATCGATGCAAAACCGTATCAACAAATGTTGAACTCGACAGGGAGCGCGTGCGCATCTAGTTGAGTCTGCAGCCGGTTTTAAGTATTAAGCTCGATTACTTTGTGTCCACCGTAACAGTACCTACTCTAATTCACTCCGAAATTTAAATAAAATGAATAGCTATGCTCACACTACGCCGTTATGTCAGCTAATATGGTTTATATATTTTTTTATTTGGTCTATTTAGTTGTACTTATTGTAAATCTTCTAGCTTTGATGGTAGCATGTTTGAAAATTTCCATTTTTAGAGAATGAACAAAATTGATCAAAAGTTCGTTTGCCCAATCTCTTGCCACAAGGCTCAACCATTGTGAAGAGTTGGTTATAGATGCTTTTGTCATTTGTTTGCTCCTATTTACCTTTCACGACCCCAAAAAAGGTTCGAAAGTATGGCGAACTATGTAACACCACGCTCATATGAGCAACTACCGATATATTCTTTGAAGTGGCAAACAATTCTGCCTCTAGGTAGATACTTGTAATATCATAGTATAGTAATTAGCTATTCATCCTGGAATTTGTTATACACTTTTTTTGGCCGTCATGTTCTGTTACCTTGGCTTTTTTTTTTTTCTGTGCCTCCTATCTCAATACATACGAACTGTCAATGTTATTAGCTGTCCCATTTTGTCATATAACAAATAAAACAGCTAAAAGTAACCAAATATTATGAATATCCTAGGGTTTAACATTTGACCGTTCGGCGTAGTGCAATATAAAGCCCCGTTCTCACTGCACGAATCTTATTAAAAACACTATATTACAATATCTACAAGGAAGCCAAGCTCAGTTAATATAGAATTATAATAAAAACGCGATAACTATAAACTATGTGTAAAAGCTAAATAACTTTAAAACGGATACTACCGCGAAAATTGTAAAATTATTAATTTATATTACAGATTTTTTGTTTTCATGTTAAGTCGTTTTGTAAATTAATTGGCCCATTTATTTAGTAGACTAACTCTAACTTACATTTGGCACCAAGTTCGCAATTGGCACGATGCTCACAACACGTTCACTATATGCTCGCTCTGTGCGGTGGCATTTGGAAGGTCAACGTATCGTTCACGAAGTACAGGTCTTGATCCTCGTCGTCGGGCAGGTAGTAGCCGTAACTGCCGTCTTGCGAGACGGCGTCTGCATTCTTCGGCATCTCACAATTATAATCCTCCCAATTCCTCTCTAAAGATTTTCTTCTCTTAGCGAATAATATCGATCCATCGAATGCATATTCATCGTCGAAGTGTAACACTGCATCATCATAGAAGTAGTTCTCCATTCTCTTGTTGCTCGTATTTCTTGCTATATTCTTCATCAACTTCTTCTTAGCGTAACTGGATTTTTCTGAATCGTAATCATCTACTAAAGGATCGTTGCTACGGTTCTCTGATCTCAAATTCATCGAGTATAGAGATGAACTGTGAGGACTCATTTCTAATCTGGTACTGAGGCTGTGTCTGTACGGGTGTAGATATTGTTCATTGTTGTTACATCTCATTTCGTACATCATCATCCCTCTTCGGAGCTGTTCTCGTCTTTTGGCGACCATTTCCCTGAAGTCTTCTGGGTCGAGTTGGAAGTCGTTGGCCTTCGCGTTCATATACAAGTAGCCCGATGCTGAGTTCAGTCGTAGTGACTGTGAGCGGTTCTTGGCTGATGATTTCTCTATGTATCGAGGTATGCTGCCCAGTTCTCGGTAGTTTTTCGATTTGATGTGCTTTATGTTGGTTGGCGGGCCCGGCGAGAGTGGATCGCGATATGGTATTGATCTGCGAATGTTAAATAGACTCATTAAATTGATTTCTTTCAGTCATATCTATAGCGCGCCAAACAAGATTACATAAAAAAAATGCGAGTATATGTTGTTATTTGTATGGTTGTATAAAACTAAATACCATACAATTTTCATAGAAAATATGACTTTATTTCCTAATTTATCTTTTTACATACAGGCTTGCATTAAACTGAGAGTTGATGGGAAATAAATTCCCAAGCAATGGACTATTAAAGGCTGTTAATGATGATAACTTATTTGAAAAGGTTATAATACTTTAATACTAAAGTAACTGTCATAGTATGTCTCTGTTAAGGCTGTCGTATGTAGGCTGTAAGTACTCAAGTTGTTTTTTTTTTTACTTAATTTCAGTACTCACTTGTTGGGTCCAAAGCAGTTGCAGGAACAACTACAAACGCTGGGAGCGTATTCATCATCCACATACAAAGGCACCAAAGACGTGTCACCTGAAAACAATAAAATGTTAAATTTAACATAAATGAATATGAATGCTGTTAGTTGCTATTAAAGGTTTATTTTACTGTTTAACTTAGTAGCGATCTAAGTTGTTTTATAACTTACATTACTAATATGCACTATCTATATTCATTATTTTTTATTGATTTAGAATAGGTGTTCCATTTCACATAAGAGAAAGTGATCATGAAGATGGCATACCGTTAAAAAAAACCTATTAAATTTATTTTTAAAACTTGAAGACTAGTGTTTGAAAGTTTAATAATAAGACTGATATTTTTTTTTTTTAACATAAATTTAAATTTGTTTGGAAAAGTAGACGGAGCAGTGCAAGACTGGCGACTTAAACTCAAAAAGAGTTGTAAACGCGCTTATCGTGGGTTCGACAATAATGACAGAATAATAATAATAACTTTAGATACACATCTTAAACAAACAGGTCCCAAACTAGGCAGAACCTGTATTATGGTACCCAATGTGCGTATAACAGTCCGATGAAGAAATAGTGAGGATTGTATCTGTGAGAGCTGAGGCTGACCTGGCGCGACGTGTCGCGGGTCCCCGGCGAGGCGCGTGCCGCGCGACACGCCGCGCAGCACCTCGCCGTCCGCCGTGATCACGTCGCCCTCCAGCCGCACCGCCACCTGCTGCGCCTGCACACAGACAACATATATCATGTTCATGTGCTAGTCGTTACTTCATTCTTTTTTATCTTCATTGATTTTTAATGATGCAAGGGGACTACGAGAAGACCTGGCAGGTCATCAAACCGGCATCCGGCGATAGTAAGTAACTAACAACTAAAGAGTCACGAATGCGTTACCAACCTTTGAGTACACCCGCCAAATATGAGGGGCGAGGAAATTGTTAAACCGCTAACCTCATTAATAAATGCAACAAAATAATTACTTTAACATCAGCTTTCTATAAGCAAAGAATAACTGTCCACTGTTAGTTTTGTTTTAAAGGTCTTAAGTATATTATTAAGATAGAGAAAAAAGTGAGATGAGTAAAACAATGAGTATTAAATACAGACATACTATTTAGAAAAAATGCTTAGTAAAATAATAATTGAAATTGTACTGAAAATACATAACACTTTGACAATTTAACTGTTTTCTTCAAAATTTGTTCTCGTATAGTTCGCTATGGGTGCTACTGATAGCTCAATGTGCAGAGCTTTTACGGAGGCAGAGGAAACAACAGCTCATTACTCATAGATTGTTAGGAGATAGCAATATATCGGGCTAAATAGCTCACCAGGGTCACTCTCAGAAGTAGTCGTTAACGTAAACAGGATTCTTTAAGCTGTTAGGGGAACTCCAATAGCTTATATTCCCACCAAACGCAAGAACGTGCTTTGGCTTAGAGTTCTGGAAACGTGCTTTGGCTTAGCCAGTTCTGGAAATGTGTGAACCAATCATAGTAGTTTAACTTACCTGTTCAGCCTGCGCTTGATCTCTCTTCTCGTCTTCTGTATTCATTGTGACGAATCTCAACACGAGAAGATTGAGGCACGCGGCCACTATGGCCAGCCCGAACAGTATGAAGATGAGCGCGAACATCACGTACGAAGGCTTGTGATTGAGTGCGTTGTCTTTTTGTAATGCTACCATGTCTCCAAAACCTAGGAACAAGAGTAACGTGTCATATACACATCACTTAAACTGAAGCAGCCCGAAGAAGTCGTCAATTGGACACTGGACTGCGAGACATACACTGGGTTAAGTTGAAAAAAAAAAGGATCTGAACAGATGAGCGATAGTGCTAAAAAATCAAAAAAGTCCTTTGATTTTTTGAATTTTTAAATACTTTTATTTTTAAACCAAATTTCATTTAAATCGGTTCAGCGATTTAAGCGTGAAGAGGTAACAGTCAGTCAGTAAGACAGAAAAAAGGTAAGTCACGGCTGGCCTCTTGGTCTAATGGGTAGTGATCCTGCCTGCTAAGCTAGAAGTTTTGGGTTCAATGCCCAATCACTACAAAGTGTGTGATGAGCTCCATCATTTGTTCTGTATCATCAACAGCCTTTAATAGTCCACTGCTGGACTTAAGCCTCTCCTTAGAAAGGAGGTTCTGTATATGGGTGTAATTTACGTATATATTTAGATATATATTTGACTGTGTATAAGTTTGTTTATCTGTCTGATTACCACAGTAGAGGGGGCCTTGTGCGAGTGTATTTTACATCAACTCACTCTTGTCAGGGAGCGGACTTAAATATTGACCAATGAGCGCACACTAGGCCTTCAGGCTTTGAGAAGTTTGATATAAAATGGCGGTGTGTGAGATTTGTAAAGTTATTATTATTAGTAGTAGGAGGCGTAGTAGCGCATTAAGGAACTGATCGTAGTTTTGCGCAGATAGGGGAAAACTACGATCAGATAGGTCAAAACTACTAATTCAAACTAACTTTTGGTGTATGTTTAACCTAAATTTCATATTGTTGGCTATAGTAAATGTTTTTTTTGTTTGCTTTTCTCACTCACAAGCTTTTATGGAAGAAGTCTTTGGGGATATTCTTCAACCAGAAAAAAGTAATTATCCAGTCCTCAGGGTTCCAATATTATGTTAAAAAATGAAGACTAGAACACTTACCGATGGTAGTGAGTGTGATAAAACAGTAATATACACTATCGAAGTAACTCCACCCTTCGAACTTGGAGAACGCCGCGGCTCCGCCCGCTATAGTGAGTGATGACAGCGTTGTTACCACGCAGATGAGATCCACCTCCGACGCGCTGGTTTGTTTGCAGTTCATCGCGCGTTTTATTGACTTTATTATAACGCTGAAATAAACAAAGACAGGGTTGAATTTGATTATGTAAGGAATATTCTCTGAAGACAAAGTTTCTAGGGGTCTATCTAGGAAGTCCATTCGTTGACAGTTAGTCTAGTAATTAGTAGAGCTAGTAGAAAAAAATTAACAAGTTTTATACCTACACTTTTTTATGGGACTAATTCCTGCCACACGCCCACCACTGTAACTCCTGTACACCAGGATCAACAGCAGTGACCCACGAACACACCGAGTTATGACATTCGGGAAGTCCCAGGAAAAAATAAACAGTCTTGGAACGCAACGAAATTAATCAGAAGAAACTTGGAGGACTTGGAAATACAGTACACACTAACAGACGCTTATCAAATCCATCCTTATGCAAATTGTCAATATATTACGACTATTACTAATATTAATTATTTTCTGAGCCTTATCTCGGAACGACTGTAGAAGTTATAATAAATACAATACTATATGGTCTAAGTCTGCAGTGTCTCTTACCTTAAACCAACTAACTACCCCACGCTGTTTTCGATGAAATAATTTTTCTTTTAGAACTTATAGAAAAATATATTCTACTTTTTAGTTCATTTAATTACAAGTGTTTTTTTTTTACTTTTTTTAAACTACAATTTATTTTTGCTTTTTTGACATTATTGGTGATTAAGTCGCATATACTTCAGCACACGCCTCTAAGTACGTAGCAAAAGACACCATCGTATTTTTAGATATGGAGAAACCCGTCAACCCTGAATATATTTATCAGAATAATCGGCTCTATCAAATTATTGTATTGTCATCGACATCAAATTATTGTATTAATTCGACGAATAAAGTAGATCAAAATCACTTTCAAAGATTCCGTTATATACACATATAGATACATACATACCAAGCTAATAAAAGCGTGTTAAAAATGAATCGCCACATGTATTGCTAAGCGCCAAACTCGAGAACGGGTCAACCAATTCGGCTAATTGCAAACAGTAACAACAACACTTTTCTTTTCCCATACAAACCACAGGGGTAAATTATAACACCTGTCCCCAGCAGTGCTATTCTCTTAGGAAAAGCGCTGCACGCAAGGCAGAGAGAGAAAGAATCCTTAGAGAATGGCACTGCAACTGTCAAACATTTGACGTCAATTAAAACAAAACAGGATGCGACAGGTCAATAACTTTTTACACAACGTAGTCTTTCGGAGCAACTAATTGTTAAATAAAATATAATTTTTGTAACTGACCTACTGAGTCTATTGACCCTTTCACCGATGCTCTGGAACATGATGAGTCCCAGAGGTATGCCGACTATCGCGTAGAACATCGTGAACAGCTTGCCGCCAATCGTTGCCGGCGTCGAGTGCCCATATCCTACGCAAAATGAAATAACATTTAACACTACACTAGAATATCACACCTTGACTATAATACACGACAGGAAGGACCCAATACTGTCTTTACCATAAGAGCACACGGGGCCCGTGCCCAGGGCCCCTACCGGGGCACACGGGGGCACCGAAAAGCGAATACAGAGAGCTATACATTCACTTCAAGATCTTGCACAACAGAAATTCTGAAATTCAAGCATGCTTATCTGATTAATTCATAGGTTTTTAATATATATATACATATTTAGGGGTTAATTAATATATATATATAGATATATCTATATGTACCTATTTAATTAATATCTATAATTGTATGTATATTTGATATTTACGGAATGTCACCATCCCTATTAATCGTGTGGGTGTCGTAAGAGCCGACTAAGGGAGCAAACTACGCAGGACAACAGCACTGCAAAAAGTAGGAAAACTTGATACAAACCCTATACCAACCCGTCTGGTTAGCAGTGGACTATTATAGGCTGTTTATGTGATGTGATGTGAAGTAAAAGATAATGGCTAAAAATATTTTTATCATACATTTTCTTTTACAGTCCAACGGGGCCCCAAATTATTGTGTGTCCGGAGACCCCGGCATAGTCTAAGACGGCTTGGAAGGACCTTTAAAATTGAGCCAAAATGTTCTGTTTCAATCGAAACTTCCCAAAACTTTCGTTAAAACAAATAATTCGGCACATGTCTACTCGAATTGAATCACCACCCTCAGCGTCTGAACTGTCAGGCCACTCTATAAAAACCTTGTTGTGTTCTTAAAGTGAACAGGCTCTGATAATTTCTATGTGCTCATACTACGTCTTAATTTTTTTAAAGACATTAAATATCGCCGCACATCCTTTTAAAAGTTCTGTCAACGTAATATAGGGGGAATACGAGAAGGCGGATCAACTAATGGTAAGTAACTATCATCGCCCATGAACACCGACAACACAAGTTAGGGCTTGTCTTTAAGTACATCTCCCCCCAGAAATCATAATCGGTCTGTACATACAGTTGAGTTGTGCTAGCAAAATATTAAAAAAAAAAAACTCGTTATGCATTGCTTTTCTCTTATCATTTTGCAAGTACAAGTAAATAAATATATACTTACCGATAGTAGTAAGAACTGTAGTAGCATAATAAAACGCCCCGGTAAACTTCCACTGTTGACCAGCCTTGTGTGGCTCTGACTTGAGGACCACAGTCTCCATCACACGGAAGTCCTCCTCTGTTATATTGTACTTCCTGATAATCATTCCCTCAATAGCTGAAAGGTACATTTATTTAGAGTTGAAGATCTTTTTATAGGCCTAAATTCTAGATTTAATTCTGATTCAAAATTCTGACATTGTTTTTTTTTTATGAAATAGGAGGCAAAAGAGGTGTGGGTCACCTGATAGTAAGTGACTATTGCAGCCCACGAAATTTATACAACTCAAAAAACATAAGTGCATTGGCAGGTGCCAACCTAGTACATACCCAATCTAGTACATGACAGGGGGCACTTTACAGATACACATATACTAGATTGGGTCTTGTGTACCCCAACAACTAGGAGAAAAGCAATGAAAGAATTACTTAATATTAGATTCTCTGATTCTATGCCAGCCCATATGTACTGCAGTATGGCTATTTTGCTATTTCTATAAGATATAGTAAGAATATTCTGATAAATGTTTTTTACACACAAAAACACACGCATGTACGCTCACATTCACACAAACGCACACATAGACTCACACACACACATAGCTCCAAATTGAACTTAGTCAATTAAATAAATAAACTTTTTAATAAACTGTGATCACTAAATTATTTCATATCAGATTTATGAAAATTCAAATATTATTATTACTGTCCAAATATATAATAGCTTTTGTATTGATAACCTCAATACTGGCTTAGCCTAGTGGGGCTACCATTGTTTAACAAATTATGTAAATCTGGCCTAACAAAATATAGCAACTGTACTCTATTGTATATATTATTCATAACATTTAACTTAAACAAAATAAATTGGTGTTTTTATTTAGACTTGGTCAGCCAGAAAATGTTACTGACATTGTTAATTCTCAACAATGGACAGTGGCTATAAAAAGTACAGTACATCTGCATTAAGAATCTTTATATGTGTACTGAACAGATCTGATTAATGAGTCTTGCACCAGACTAAAAATTATATGAACAAATTATATGAAAAATGTAGATAACATACGGAAAGATATTTCAGATAAACAAAAACAAATTGTCTATCCAATTACAAAATTTGACACCCTTGTTTCAAACTTTAAATTGTTTATGTAATGTTCTTTAATTAAGAATAGTTTTCTTATGCCAATTATAACAATCATCATTGCAATCTAGTCTATGGCCAACAAAAAGACAGAACTATTTACTATAACTAGATAATCCTAATTAAAATAAATGACACTAACCTTGCAGTACTTCAAATCTGTTCCTTTCAGTAGTAGACTCTAATGCGTCAAACACAGCGGCACCAACCAGTAAATATGTAAATGTGCACACAATTAATGATAGAGTGCGAACATTTTGTTTCTTCATCACTGCCGAGTGTCACCCCGGCCTTAGGGCATAAGGCCCAGGTAAATACGCCACCCTTATTGCAATTCAGTCAAATAAACACCATATTGTCTTGTTTCTATTACTTAATTATTAAGTCACCATTTTAAGGTATAATAGACAATTTAATTTTTTAATTTGGAATGCATTTTTTGGTGGCAATTGTAGCAACAGACACAACATACAGTTGCAGTTACAAAGATGATATGCTCAACAATTTTTGTTTTCATTAGTGCTGTGTTCCTTCAGTTGTGTAGTACATTATAGTCACAACCTGATCTATCTTATGTGTCTTAAGATATCCATTTAATTTAGGAGAAATTGGAAAATGTTTCTAAATAAAATACTATGCTTAAATTGATCCCTCAAAGGAGGTTGTTTCTAAAGAATGTGTTAGCAATCTCTACTCCTGTATTCTGATTTTTCTCCTGAATTTTAAAATGTCCATCCATATTGTGTTTATTTTTTAAACAGTTACAGTACCTGCAAAAGTATTTAGGTAAACTATATTCATTGATTTAATATTATCGTACTTAAAATTTAATATCATATTTTAAAAATCTATATTTAATAAATAAATCAATATTATTATAAAATATACAAAGTTTAAAATAGTAATAATGATACTTTAGATTTAGATATTAACTACATACATAAGGATACATATTCTAGATTCGTTTTTCAAATATTCAATTGGTATTTAGTAAAAAATAAAACGAAAAAAATATTTAAATTCGAACAAGTACTAAAACAAAGAAAACTCACCAGCAATCAACACAAAAGGTCACAGGTCCTTTTGTCAGTAATTAATGACACAATTGAAGATCACGAACAGCATCTATAAATATTTAATTATCTGCAAAGCTGTATCCTAAAAATAACATCGTGCTTTAGTCCGCATTCACATCCATAGGTCAACGCACACGGCACTGTAACTGGGTCAAATGTTATGACGATTATTTTCAACATAAATTGTAAAAACCGACTGCCGGAATGCCTCCCTTAGTTGATAAACAGTCATACTGTGTAATTAAATGGTTAGATTTGCGCAAAAATATCAACATTTTGGCATAAATCCTCTATGCGGTATTCTTTTACTGGCACACCACCTAGTTTCGTTCTGTCCTGTAGCACCCACTTGCACAGTCTCTAACCATTTTGGTGATCGGACTACATTATCTTCCCATCATCTCTATTCGTTTTATAAAAAACAGATCATTTTGCTTGCATTTCATGAAAATAACAAAAAAATCGGCGAACAGTTTTCTGCTGCACTTCCTTCACTTCCTTGACCTGGATTGTGTGGCCAGACTAAAATTTACGTCTACTGCATTTATCCATAGCTTAAAGACAAATGTAGTATTTCTAGTAACATTTAATTTATAACTCAGTAGAAAGTAAATAAATATGTTCAATTTCACAAAAGCGAAGTTCATTAATTGATGGACACAAATATCGCCGATATTTAGTACGGTTAAAAAAACAATAAAGGTATTTTCATTCTTAGATACTAATTCTTCAAACAGATTTTCAAAAATTGCCCTAGATGGCGTGTAAAACGAAAATAGCCATTTTTAGAGTTTTTATTTAGTACTCAGACAATGTTATAGATGGCAGACTTACAGTGTTTTAATAATATCGTTCTTGGTTCCTTCAAGTAAGATTTATTACCTGTTTTCCCTTTGTTATTATGGTTTTAAAAAAGTTTTTAAGGTTTTCATTGTAACACATAATTATAGCTTTTTTCATTATTATACATTTAGGTAGACCTAGTAGACCAGTACTAGACCATAAAAATATTTTAATTTGTAATTTAAGTTATTACCTACTATACTTTTGTTTTAGTTAGATTAGTATGGAGATAGAGATTTATATAGATGTTACATTAGTGGCAAGGCGATCTTCAGTAACTACAATAAACACCTTTGATAATTAATCCATTTGAAATAAACAGTCATGAAATGAAAGCAAACACAAATTGTGCACTTAAATAAGGGCTAACTTGCGGTGCGTCTTGAGCACGCGTCTTGTGCAGCGAGATTAGCTTTCACACGGCTAAAGAGCTGGTATTGTATAATCAGGTAGAGTTCTACTAGTAACTTTAAACTATCGTGTTCCCTAATATCTAATTATGTATTACGGCAATTAACGATAGGTATTACGTGTGACCACGGCATGTGTGAAACGTCAGGCAATTGAAAGTTATTTACTTAATACCTTTCGTGAGCGAGTTAATTTCCATACATAATAAGTAAAAATTAGTCAGTACATTATGTACTGACTAATTTTTACTTATCATCATCAACAAATCATACTAGATATATATCTAGTATGATTTGTTTTATGTTTCAGAATATAATGTAACCATATCGTTAAATATGGTGACTGTGATTGAATTAACCTTTTTTATTTATTTATTTACAATAAAAAGCTGACAAACTAATTACTTTTTAAATTCGCAAGCGTTATTGTTTATCTTAGATACACTTAAACAGTGAAGGTTCACATAACTTTTATTTAAGTACCGAATTCAGAGTAAGTATAATTTTCGAAAATTAACAGAATGTCCTGAAAATAGAACCGTATCTAACAGCGCCTTGTCACGTTACAAACCATGTCAATTGCTTATTGCTATGTAAAAATTTAAGGCGCTTAAGTAGTTGTTTTTTTTTTTAGTTACACACCATGATATCAATTAATATCAAATGAATTTAAACGTTACCTGCTAATAATTTAAAAAGAGAAAATACCGGTCCACGTTAAAATCGATAGGTACTTAGAATTTTTATAATTTACATACACTCATAGTCACTGTCACCATTACGGCGAATCTAACGACATCTCAAAGCCAAAAACGTGTCAAAGACATATACATAGATATTTACCTACATACATACACTCGAAAAACAAAACCTTCCTTCTGGCCCAGTCGTGTAAATATAAAAAGATTATAATACTGATATTACAATATTTAATCTAGGTATGATATTTAGAGTTTGTATCAAGTTTTCCTTCTCTTTGCAGTGCGTAGTTATAATAATTGTTAATAATTTTAACCCTATACCAACCGTTTGGCAAGCGTGGTATAGGCCAAAACCTCTTTTCTGAGGAGAGGCCTATGTCCAGCAGATGACTAGTAAAGGCTGATGTAATGAGCAGAAGTGAGCACATCGAAATTTGATAGCTTTTTATTTTATTAATCTTTGAGCTCTGTTGTTGGTGACGAGTCTACTAAGTCTATTGTAATTTACCATTCTATTAAGTATTTTCAACACTAAAAAAAAACCAGAAATCGATCTCAAGACCTCATTATCGCACTAGATGATAAGATTAAAAAAATACTTAAAACCAGCTCTATTAATATACCAAATCTTGTTGCGCAGTGTCATAAAATACAGATGCAAAATGCTTTGTCTACTACATCGCGCAGATGAAGCTGGAGAGGGGGGAATGTCGAGAGTGGGCGGCGAGTGTACTAGACCTTTCTCCCAAGTTCTGGGTCATGTTGGCGTTTATGTAAGAACTGTTGTTGTTTGTGAATGAGCTGAGTCCGTTTGTGTAGTTGCTAACTGCAATTGTGTTCTATTGTGTGGGATTCAGGTTGAATATTTAATGTTAGAAAGCCTGGGTTTCAAAGAGAATAAACAATACTACAGAACAAAAACGTCTGTATGTATGCTTGGGTGGTTTTGTTAGAATTTTCTGTCTAGAAATATTCAAAACCAGTCTAGGATAGCTTGACATTGTGGCCGCTGTAAAGGTACGCAAGATAGTGCCACCAGTGTGCAGTGTACGTGCACCCCCTACACATAGTGCACACCAGTGCCCAGCAGCCTTATTAGTGTTGTCTCTTGAAGTTACAGGCTACACAGATTGTAATCACCAATGGTCTAACTCAGAATCGACTAAACTTTTTTAAAACATCATCATCAGTCATCATCATCATCAATCTAATGTGGTTTTGATCTTCTAGACTATCTAGAAACAAAGTTGGTTCTGAGATAAGCTTGGTCATTTACCGGATAAAACTTGTTATAGGTAAAAAAAAGGATAATAATAACCACTACCTACCTAACAAGCCACTATATGTAAGCACGACGATATATATAATTGGGACCTGTTAACTGTTAATGAAATACTGCATTATCCAAAGTGTATAACTATAAATAAGAAAAGTACCAACACTCTCATGAGTGACAAACTGAGGAAGTTGTGATGTGATTAACCCTATTTAGAATAAAACCGTTTATTCTGTCGATTGCCGATTTTGTGCTTCTGAAAAACCTGTTTTGTGTTAGGCCAAATTAGATATCAAATAATTGAGATTTGTAGTCGTTTTCGTCGTAATTTGAAAACGATAACACATTAACATTTTTAGCCTTCTGCACGTTTTCTAAATATAACCTTTCCAAATTCCGCATTCCTAAGTTCGCAAAGCTAAAAAGGATACGAAGAAATGTCTATACGTACGTATGTACCTATTAATATATAGAAGAAGAAAAAACTAGTGAGCTTTACAGCAGTTGTATATTATGAATCTCACCTACAAGTAACGGCCAACTCTAGCACCACGCGCTCATTGGTCGAATCAAATAGCGCTTGCTTCCTGGGTTTCCTGTTACACATTTCCATCCCTTTTTACGAAATCACTGTCACAGATTACAGGAAAACAAGAGGTAAAATGTTAAGTTAATGTTGAAGGTGTGCAATGGCTTCCTTTTTTTTTGTTAGAGGGGGCAGACGAGCAGACGGGTCACCTGATGGAAAGTGACTATCGCCGCCCATGAACGTCTGCAACTCAGGAGTCACAAACGCGTTGCCGGCCTTAAAAAAGAAAGGAGTACGCTCTTTTCTTTTTCATTACTTGTTTTAAATCCCTATTTATCTTGAGTTTATGTGTTAATGGTTGTATAATTAAATACTTAAGTTAGAGTTTTTGTTTGTACTGTTCTAATACCTAAGACTATTTATTGCTATTATTG